GCCAGGTGGGCCGCCTCTCCCCTGCAGCCCCAACCTTCGGGGTCATGAAGCCAAGTCTGACCACTCCCTCCCCTCGCAGGGTGACTCTGGAGGGCCCCTGGTCTGCAAGACGAAGGGCACCTGGCTGCAGGCAGGTGTGGTCAGCTGGGGTGAAGGCTGTGCTGCGACCGATAAGCCAGGCATCTACACCCGTGTCACCTCCTACTTGGACTGGATCTACCAGTACGTCCCCAAGAAGCCCTGAGCCCGGTCCTGGGGGCTGTCACCTGGGTTGGCGGAGAAGTCAGGCCCCTGCTGTCCCCATATCACTACTTCCTGCTGGGGTGGTGCCCTACCTACACATGCCCTTGCCCCCTGCACTGACCCACCTGCCCTGAGCCTCTCCCTGCCTGGGCCAGGGTGCAGGCAGGGATTACGAATCCTCATTAAAGTGCATCGTGAGCAGACATGGTGTTCGCTGTGTTTCTGGCTACAGGTGTCACTGAGGGAGAGGGAAGGGGTCAGGGCACGGCCCCTGAGCCCCGGGCCTTGCTGTGGGCATGGCCCCAGCCTCTGCCCGTTGTGCCCAGGGCTCACTTCTCAGCACACTGGCTTATGTCTCTTTGGTGAGTGGCATCAGGCTTTGTAACACAGAAAGCGACACAGGTCATTTAGGTGATTCTAGGAGGCAACAGGTCCCAGAAATGGGGTCAAGATTCAAAGCATTGCTCCCACACCCAGGTCGCTCTATTTCTCTGCAGCCTGTCCCCTCCCCCAGAAACTCTACATGCCCACCAGTCCCCCTGCCCGCCCCCCCCCGAGACCTGTAGCCATGAGTACTTGGCCCTGGGGGCGGCCCCCATTGGCGGGACATGCTGAGTGTTGGGGACCCTGGGGTCCCTGCCAGGTTAGTCCAGGTGAGAAAGGTGGAGGAAGGAGACTCCTTGACTCCCTGGCATCCTGGGCTCACCTTACTCTGCACCCAGTGTGACACAGAGGGCCTTTAGTTGGCCAGGGACCAGTACCTGGCTGCAGGCGTCATGGTCAGGTGGGTGAGGGCTGTGGCCGCCGTCACTGGCGCACATCGCTGCTTCTACACAGAGCCTAGTCGGCTCTCCCACCCTCCTGGCCTCTGACCCTTGATCCATGACCCTTCCCAGACATGGGCATGGAGGGGGTGGGCCACATGCTGGTCCTGGAGAAAGAACAGTACAGCAGCCCTGGGTCTGGCCCAGCTCAGTGTCTTCTCCCCGTAGGAATTGAGGCCAAGGTCACATGCACGAGGATCTGAAAACCCTAGAGCTCCAAGTCCAGCCATGTCCCCCAAGCCCACTCTGCAGGGACAGCCTACACCTCGAGCTCCTGCAGGTCCCCATTATCCACCAGATGGAGCCCCAGCACCCCACCCCACACCTGCTGGGCAGCCCTGGGGCCCTGTGCTGGGATTCACTGCTCAGCTGGGTCAGAGCAAATAGGCCCTGGCCTCAGCCAGGTAGGGCCCCTGAAGGCACCTCCCACCACCTAGACTAGCTCGGAGGCGGCCATGGTGGGTCAGGAGGACTTCCTGGCTGCGGCGAGCTCCTGCTGTGCTGCGTGGAGGGAAGGCCCCATCTTGGACCAGCTCTGTGTGGGCACAGTCCCCCACCGTGGTCACAGCCACCGTTCAGCTCGAAGGATCACAAGTGCTATCCTGACCTGGCCCCCTTCTCCTGCTCTCCCGGGTAAGGGGTGGGGGATCTAACCAGAGGGGCTGCAGATGAGAGCCCTGGGCCAAGAGGCCAGCAGGACGCAGGGTGGGTCTAGCGTCAGGGCAGGGAGACAGTGGAGAGCAGGGTGGCCCCCCAGCCCCGGGCCACTGCCCAGTGGGGAAGCTCTCCCCAGTGGGGGTCCCCCTCTGCCCACCCAGCACCATCTCTGCCGGGAGAAACTTCTGCCTACACTGCAGCACACTTCATTTCCCCAGCGTGTGAATGACACCATGTGGTTACGTGGTTCCAGCTGCCAAGGTGAGCTCGACTTTCCCCTCGGAAGGAGGCCTTTGTATCTG